GATAGATTTTTATTTTTTTTTTTTCCCCCAGACCTGGCAAGTCCCTTGCTGTTGCCCTGGCTCACTTACCTCCATTTGCAGACGTTGAGATGGGTGGCCATCCTCTGAGCATGCTGTGAAATGAGTGCTGTATTGTCAGGTATGATAAACCACCAAAGGGGTTTTTCAGATGTCAAGGATTGAGGAAAATTAAATCTGCAATTAACGCCAAACCACTTAAGAACTGAGATTTCTGAAACTACCATTTCCACCATGAGACATACAAAAATGACCGAAACTATCATCATAACAGACTATCTGCTACACACTTGGCTTTTCCCAAGAAAATTACCAAAGTGGTTCCTATAGAAAGAACTTTAGTGGAACGTTGTTAAGCATGTATCCTTCTCCTTACCTCTGTTTAGCTAAGTGCAAAGGAAACAACAGACTGATATTTCCCAGTATTTAGACACTTTTAAGAGCATCCTGAAGTCTGCCTCTCTTTAGCACGTAGTTTTAGGCTGGAAAATATTCTTTCCCCCATTCCTTACTACACACCACCATATCATATTAATAAAGCAGAAAATGGGCAAACACCAGAATATTCTCCAAAACAAAGTGGAGCACAGACCCAAACAAGCACTAGTGCTGCAGAACCATAGTTCACCGTTGCGGGTCTGAGATGCCACCAACACCACTTCTTTCCTTCTTCTCAGATTCGTTATGATGTTATTCAACTCTCAGGAGCTTTCACAACCCCTCGCAAGTGTAAATCGTTCCAGAAATCATCTTTGTTTCACATGCAGGAATTATGTCTGCATATACAGGGTAACACAGTTATCCACTCTGAGAGCCATGTGTTTCCGCGCTATCGGGGTGCAGACAGGACCTTAAGTTTTTAACACTTCGACAACAGAGTCCGTTGGCAGGTGATGTCCTTACGAACGCTGAAAATGGCATCAGATGCCATGGTCTGGAACCTAATCACTCAGGTTTTTGGATACTCCCATCTCGACTGCTTTATGGTACATGTAGTTTCATACGCGGTCTTACCGGATCGGTAACAGTTGCCTCGCGCGAGGCAGAACGAGGCATCAGGGTAAATACTAGAGTGCAATATTAATCAACTTTTCCAACAAGGTGAACTTTGGTCTTTTTCCATTCTGCACAGAAGAAAAAAGGTGGAAAATACACTCCAGCACACACAAAGCAAATTATATCTTCTGAATATTTTCCCAAAATGGATTGTACCAGTTAGACAGCAGGTTAGATCCAGCCAGGACCTCTCTGAAAATGCAAAGATTCTTGGCATCTGTCTGATTCTGGGCAGATCTCAAGTGGTATGCATTTCAGCATTCTTTGACAATGAGGCTTCAACCAAAAATATTCCAATCTGGTCAATGTATTTAGATCAAAGATTAGCTTACACTCCAGTGTCACCAACATTGGCACCTTTCCTACCATTCAATTTTAGTTACAAGCTGAAGCTCCCACAAAAATATGCAAGGAGAGGTTTCCTTCATGAGTCATCTCTTAAAAACATACCCAGTCATTTATTTAAGTTAAAAATCACAGTCAAAAATTGGCAAGAGCAAGTCTGGAACAAAATATAGTTTACGCACATGACTGACTATGCATCCACGTGGCTGAAGAGCCAACATGTCTGACAGTAATGGGAGAAAGTTTAGAAATTAGGGAGCGCTATTAGCTCTCCTTACTCAATTTTCAAGTGTTGTAGGCTCAAGTCTGACCTTCTGATCCAGCTCTGCTAGAGCTAAACGTATGATATGCATCAATGCAATACCAGCTGTGTCTCTGCTGCTCTGCATTTTGCAGGACTGTAATCATGTAGAGAACACCTACCCTCTCCGACTCTGGAACCGGAGAACTCTTGCAAAGCTTGGTGTCCCAAAAAGGAACCCGAGATTTTCAGTAAGCCTATTTTCACATCGTAATAGATACAATATTTGGTTCCTGCAGATGAATATAGTGAGCGTAAGGCTTGGCTATGGAGTGTGTTTTGTTGCATTATGATCACCACTGGAACTGCCAGAGGGGTCGTTCCGTATGCTGCTCGGATGTTAATGAGGTCTCTATGAAAGGGAAAGCTCTTCCTGCACACCGCGATGCTGTTTCAGAACAGTCAAAGAAAACTGCTGGACACTACTATTGTGAAGCTATTGTATGCTCATCAGGAGGCTACAGAAACTACCAAATAGACCACAGATCTCTTAGCCAGCATTTTTGAAAGTCAATTTATAAAGCTAGGAAAAGCTGCAGGAAAACAAATGGAGTTAGCATAAGAATTCAGTATTAGTTTGATACATAGAATCATAGAATGGTTTGGGTTGGAAAGGACCTCAAAGATCATCTAGTTCCATCCCCCCTGCCATGGGCAGGAAAACCCTCCGCTACACCAGGTTGCCCAAAGCCTCATCCAACCTGGCCTTGAACACTTCCAGGGAAGGGGCATCTACAACTTCTCTGTAATGCAAGACTGAACTTTATAGCTTGTTACAAATTAAGGCGTCTCCCTCTGGTCTGCAGTTTTACAATACAATGCATTTCACAAAAGGTAGCAACAGTACTGCCAGCGTTAGGCTAACCTGGAGGGAAATATCACAGAAGGCTTTGATCTTGCCAACGTAAGAAAGTATCTGCAGCCTCTTGGAAGGCTCTAGGGCACAGAGGCACTCTGAGCAGACAGACCGAGGAGTTTCAGACACAGAAGCAGGCTAAGGCAAACACTCCTCTCATGCAAATGTATCACTCAATTTGGATGACTCTCTCAAGATGTACCAAGATCCTCAAGATGTACAGAACTCAAGCTATGTTCCCTACAGGTTGAGGAAGTACACTTCACTTGTCACCAAGTGTGTTCAAAGAAATGACTTAGAATACATTTTTATTTTATTGAAAACGTATGTAGGGATTGTTTGGTTGGTGTTTTTTTTTGTTGGTTTGGGGTTTTTTTTTTTTACATCTCACTTTTAATTCTTACAGAAAAATACTTCTGGAACAAGCTTACCGCAGTTTGTTTTCCTGTTTTTCCTGTTACGGCAAGTAGGGACGAATTAACTCTGGATAAAAGGTAGCACATGCATAGCCTCAGCTTTTACAAAGTGGCTTTTTATCAAACCCATTAGGTATAATCTACAATTTTCTTCACACAAAAAAAAGGCCTCTGGAATATTCAGGTTTAACTGCTTGACAACTGACATCAACTAAAACAAAGTTTATCAATCATACAATTATCAATTAACACCGCACAAGTATTTTAAAAAAATGGAAGTTTATTCATCTTTCAATGGCTCAAATAGCAAATAAAAGGACAGGATAAGGCATCAGCCAAGACAAATTTCATGTGTCTGGTGGCTTCATAACACCTCAGTTCCCAGTATACAGGTTCCAAAGCAAAGTCACAATGTTAGTGGTTAGACTCCCTGGCTAAATAGACCCAAATGAGTACACAGTAAGATGAACACTGGCTTAATTGCCACAGTTACGTGAGTAACTTCAATTCTGCACTTGGCAGTCTACTAAACACACATACAAAATTCCTATTGGTAAACTGATAAATATTTAACATGACAAATATAACTTCTAAGACTCGAGTCCCTAAAATGTCTGTTAGCAGGAAAGTTAAATATTTGTTACCTAGTTTGCTTGAGCACATTTTAAACTGTCAGTTATAGGCTTACACATGTATAAAAAGTATAACAGTTTGTGGAATTGATCTAGCCTGTCCCAGCCCAGGGGAGTCCAAGACTCTCAGACATTCTGGTATATTTTTAGTTAAGATGCAGCATACTAACCGTGTGCTAGTATTCTTGCTGTTCTGAAGCAACTGAGGCAGTATGTTTTGCTTGGGGATGTTGGATGCACATGGTAAATGCTTCTGTATCGCAAAGCATGTTTGATTGTTTAATATCAACATTAGCTAGAAAAAGTAGCTACAATGTTCCCCATTTGAAAATCAACATAAACTAGACTAAACGGTACAAAACCTGCAAAGAGCTTCAGCATAATGACTATTAGGAACACAAAAGAAATTAACTGATGACACCAGAATTTCCCAGACAACATCTTAACTCAAAACACATTAGCACTACTGCATCAGCTCCACTCCACCCAAGTCTAGGGAGTTAAAACCCAAGGAACATCTAGACCAAAAAAAAAAAAATCTACCTGTGAAAGGGAAGTTTCAAGGTATCAGCACATAGAGTTTTAAACAACCATTCCAGGCTTAGATGTGCCACAGGCTTATGATTTCAGTCTTACATGTATTCTGACCTTTTAGTTTGAAGACACCATGTCGTTTACCGAGTCACAGATGACAGAATCTGCTCTGTGTTATTCCCAATACCAGAGTATGGCACACATTTGAAGAACAGACACTGCTAGCAGACAGCTAGTTAGCAAAATCATTCACGTAACTGCACTCCACAGAGAGGGCAGTCTCCATGCAACAAAGTTGAAAATACACCCTTGATTAAGCAACCTGCTATGTTTAGGTTTTAAAATTAAGGCATAGTCAAATGTTTCCATGTGAAAGATTACATCACTTCTAGGTTAATCAGGTAATGCAGAACCACATATAATTTTCCCCAACGTAACTGTTCGCAGATACATTATTCTTTTCTAATTTGCATAACTCCATGGCAAAACAACTGCATACCGCTTTGTTAGGTATCACGTTCACAATTGTAATTTTCAAGGCAACAAAAGACAAGATGAATTGACAGTTACCAGTGATAAAAAAAAGTATGCTTTACAAGAACCCACAATACTTCCCCTTTCTGTTCACTATAAAAGAAAAGACTGCTTATGAAACACTACATTCAGAAGAAATGTGAGAAGGTAGGCAATTATGAAATGGACTGAACTTTGCTTCTCTTGAAGCCACATCATTTTTTTTCAGTGAATTTGACTTTCAGTGCAGCTCCAATTCATGCTTTTAGTGGTACATTACAATTTCCAACATGTTAGAGTAATTTCAGTCACTTGAGCCTTCAATGGCATGCTTATAAATTATGGTTTTTATTAGTATGGTCAGGGTAGGAAAGGAATTCAGGGGTTTGATTATAAAATGCAACATCTTTCTCTGATCCTCTTAGCTAGGCTTTTTCTTTTCTTCTTCCCATTCTTTTCTTTGCTGTCTTCCATTTTTCTGGCTCTAATTTCTCTCATTAAATCAAAAAACACCTAAAAAAGACGTAAGAACATAAATGCAAAAACAATCACAGACATACGAGTCAAATTAAGCTATCACTGACTATACCCATTTCAGCTGTATAGAATAAAGTCAATTACATGCAACCAGTTGAAGCAAACAAATATTAATCCAACAAATCTTTCACTGGTTTTGAAGGTCAAGTTGATATGATGCAATCCTCCCCCTTTCATGGTACCATAATGTTCCCCTGTCTTCTGATACCTGCTTATAATTCTTGTCAGACAATTTTCCACAAGCATTCAAAGAAGAGTCTCATCACCAGCCAAGATTTTTTAAACATATTAGCCACATCTTACTGAGGAGACTTGAGAAAATCAATTTACATTTTAAAATGTAAACATCAGTTTACATTATTTTCAGCGATGAGCTGAAAAGGCTGAAAGAGTGCAACATTCAATTCTAGAAGCATATTAATGGAGCAGTAGCATACACTGAGCGTTTCATGGTCAGTAAGTCCCATGATGCAAGTCTAAATGCAAAGTAACTGGGGGAGAAAAATGTACATCAGCACTTCCTTTAAAGCAAAGTTATCAATCATACAAGTATGACTGACAAACATACATAAACAATCAGGTAATCTCAACTGCCATATTAGAATCTCAAAGTACATATGAACTTCATTTTCATCAAGTGGTTTAGTAGGAAATAAGAATGACAAAGTCAGGGATAACACCAATGACTTGTTTAAGAGAACATACTGTCAATTAAGGCTTTATGATTGGACTGCTTAAAGCTACTTTATTCATCAGAAAAGCAAATCTTGGCTCAACTCGCAGAAGGCTACAGCAAATAATAATTTAATCTTTGTAATTTTGTTGTAGAAAATCAGTTGAGCAATTCTAAGACTTTTCTCTCTTGGGAGATGTTCACTAGATCCCTGGATCAGGGGACTTGATCCATTTCTGGGAATCATGGACAGCGCAAGGGCTGAAAAGCTCCTCTACAGAGCTCAGTATGTTTTTATTTGCAATGACACTAATTTCATATTGACTGCAGCAAGAGTATCATCCTTCATTACATGAGATCCAAAGAAAATCAATGTAACTAAACATTTCCATCAAGAAATGAAATTGCCCTTAGATTTCTAAATGTGCACTAAGTTACCTGCTTGTACTTGAATCTGTGCTAATAGTAAGATGCAACTGTCAACTCGCTTGAGCATTGATACTGTACTATAGTATTTAGCTGCCTGGGATACGTACCCTGCTGAGAAGATGCTTAGTGGGTCACCTTTACCAAAGTGAGTGGAGGCCGACTGTTTTCCCCACCTGAGTAAACCCACTATTCTGGAGTTCAGCAAAGCCAGATTTCTTACAGAATAGTAACTTCAGTCTGCATAACAAACCCTCTAACTTCAAATGCTCCAAGTAACTGAGAATACCTGGTACTTACCAGTGCCAAAAAAGCATCATTTATGGCCTGTCAAACTTTAATTCTGTTTGATACATGCTAATCTAGATCCATAATGCCACCAGCTGCAAAAAGAAACCTGGAGCTCTGTAGTAGCCTACCATGTGTGTGTGCAGAAGCTAATGATTAGAGAGCTATTAAAAAAAACCCCATATATATACACACACACTTTTTCCAAACTGCTAAATGACAGAGAAGTGGATTTTGAAGAGCTGGGAATTTCTACATGACTAATAGACATGCTAAACTGCAATCATGCACTAAAACTAAAAGAGGTACTATTTTTTATAACGATAACAACAATCAGAGCTGCATCAATGAGTTCTGCTGCATTTGACTTTATTTTCTCTACAGCACAGCATGAAGTTCTTACTGTAGCACAGAACAATCAGTTTCTTCAGGAAGACAACAGTCAGGTTTAAGCTACTGCAAATGAGAACTCGCATTACAGCTGCTGTGCTGTAATTTACAGCTCCTAAGTAAGGTTTTACATTAGAGAATTTTTCAACATGTGATCAAGTTTGTCCATCGCTCTGAAAGGTTGGCACATTGAACTAAACTACTTATTTCTTTTGCCACACGTGTTACTCTTGCAGTCTACAAGGCTGAGAGTTATTCTGAATTCTGTACTCCAAGAAATCCTGTCTTTTAGAGTTATAGCTGAAATACTTAAAACTAATCAATAATTTATCTCCTTGGAGACAAAGATTCTGTCTCTTATCTCACGACCTTCTGAACCAGGTTTTATCCCTGAAAACTCATGAGGCACTTCTAGGCTGTTCAAAGCTTAAAATGGTTCATCCATTCTTCATCGAAGCAACATACCACCAAGCATCTGGTTAGATGAGGGTAGAAAGGGCTCCAATCCCCTCCCTTGCCTACTTTTGTAAGAAGTTTTATTCTGGCTGAGGATCAGCCAGCATTCCTCAGTGTTCAGAAGCAGATTGTCTTCTAGTTATAGAAAATGCAGCAAGAAGCCTAGGCCAAAATCGCTGCCTCAAGATATGTTTAATGAAATAAAGTCTTGTATAATGCCTTGTATGACTCCTTACAGTTTAGGATGGGATAAACTTGTTATGCCTAACGTTTTCGCTGTTCTACATGAAGTCGCCTAGTCGTGCACTCCTCGCAAGCTACGGGAGAAAAGTGCTTGATCCAAATTTGGCAAAAATAACTGCTAAAATAATGAACATATAGAGTATGATCGACAGAAGAGAAGTATAAAGTAAAAACTGATGGAGAGATTCTTTGTGCAAAGAGGCCCATTATTACCTTGTCAACATTAGCTCGTGTTTTTGCAGAAGTTTCCACATAGTTAACATTCCACTGATCAGCTCTGGTTTTCGCTTCCTCTACGGAAACTTGCCTTTTATCTTCCAAATCTGATTTGTTACCAACTAGCAAAAAAGGAACATTCTCATCTTCTTTTACTCTTAATATCTGCTCCCTGGAGAGAGGGGAAAAAAAAAAAGGAAAAGAAAATTGAGCTTTGCATGGAGTACTATTCTTAGAACACAAAAAGAACTCAGACTAAATAGTCTTCCATGTCCCAGTGAAAACCCACTTATTCCTTTTATGAAGCTTACGTAACAGTAAAATCTTAAACCTCATTATGACATTATACAGAATGAAGACAAAGACAGACAACTAGTCCCCTCCAGGAAGGAGGGAGGCGAGTCAGCACGAAACAGAGTACAACAGGATTGATTTAGATGAGAATTTATATTAATCAGTCGTTCTTTTTACTAAAGGTGTCACTTGAGAGCATTTACCATTGTCTTTATCTCACTATTTGTGATTGCCATTTTTAAGCTACTCAAACTTCAGTTTCATGCTCGATTTTTTCCTAATAAAACGCATGTGCTATTTTTAAAGCTGATAAAATAGTCTATATATACCAAAAGAAAAATCTCTTCGTTTCAGGAATCTTTCTGTAGCCAACTATACTCAATCTCTGCAGAGATCTAATTCAGTTATAAGCCAGCGTACAGATCTTAGTTGCACATGCATCAGATTTTTAAAGACAGACCCTTCTACTGTTCGAACTGCGAGGACAAAGGGTTTAGAGTTGTAAATAAAACTCAGTACTACAAATGGTATGGTACATAAGTCTCCAACACTGAAAAAAAAAAGAAAATTATTTTCTAATTAGAAATGCATTAGAAGTACCAGGAAGAACAGTTTTCCCAGAAGACAGATATCTCTATTTTGTCTTGAAAAAGAGTATGAAGTTAGTTAGTAGTGAAATGCAGCCGTTTATCATGAAGCAATTTCTGAAAGATCGACAAAAAGCACACAGAAACAAATTCCTTTTGCTGGTTGAGGTGAAATCCATTGCCAGGTTTAAAGTTGAATGGGGAGAAACTGAGGAGAATTAATTAACTGATATCCTAAAAGGTCCTTATTTGGTGTAGGGCAGTATCATCCTGCTGTTACAGAAAGCTCTGGATACCATGTAGTCTTGTTGAGGAAGTCTTACCCACAGGGCTTCAATTGCACTCAGCCCATAATCTTTTTAAAAAACAAGTACATATTTGAAGCAGCTTGTAACACCACATTCATCTCTGATATGTAACTAAAGCAGCATTCCTCCTCTCCTCCACCAATGTCAGTGCAAGTGTTTTAACCGGGTCTGCAGCTCTGCAAAAGTAGTTTGAACAGTCAGTGGATTAGGAAGAGTGGCCAGAAGGAAACTCACGACGTCACTTCGGTACCTGTGCAAATAAGACTTCTGTTACAAACTAGCAGCTTGCAACCCTAACTGTTCACACAATGTCAAACAATTTCACCCTGTAAAGAGTTAATCTAACAGCAATCCGGATGACAATATTCTCCTTTGAGCCCTCTCTGAAGACTGATATCTCCTAAACAAAAAATATCTAATTAATGATATGTCAGCTTGAAATCTAGAACATAAAAAAAAAAATCATTAGAGACAGACTAATTCCACTCTATCTATTCCACATTTTATCAAACTGCCTTTCAAATATGTAAAACTCTAGTCATGGCATGTCTGCTTTCTGTTGAAAAAAATTACTTGCAGCAATGGCATTTCAGAGCACACCAGGAGCCTCGCTGAAGACACTGAATAGCAGTAAACAGCTCCCCTGTTGGAGGTCTGCCATTCCAGCAGAGCAAAATTCCATGGAAACAATCAAATATCCAAATTCTTCTCATCACTTCCTTTCATATCTGTCTCTTAAGTAGCATTGCCTCAGGCTGCTCAGCAATGCCAAAGGTATTTTAACTGCACCTTCAAGAGATGCAGGTTACTTTTACAGAGCAGAAAGAATGTAATTTTTAATGCTAAAGTCGCATTTTAGCATTTAAGCTTCTACAGTTTCAATAGTAACTTTCAGATTCGGGCTGGGGAGAGTTCTAATATCTTCACTGAAGGGATTTTTTTTTTTTCTTCCGGTTTTGCTGTTCCAGTGTGTATATTGTCAACAGAAAGGCACTTTCAGATTCGGGCTGGGGAGAGTTCTGATATCTTCATTGAAGTTTTTTTTTTCCTTCCAGTTTTGCTGTTCCAGTGTGTATATTGTCAACACTCACCTTGCTGGAAAAGTAGGACTTTTTCTAGAGCCACAGAAGATCATGTTCTTCGAAGCATTAACAGGATTTTAAACAGATCTGAATAGGTCATTTTGCACCCTAAAGAAGCTCAACTACACTAAATCGTCTCCAGGATTAACAATACCTAGCAAAAACCTGCAAACCACTCAAGGCCTGCTTCTCCCTCACTCTCTCTCAAAATTTATGAACACATGCATATAGAGACATACACAAAAAAAAACACCAGAAGAGGAAAAACTCACCTTCTCCCCTCTCCAGATGTCTTCCTCCTCCCTTAGAGATGAGACTAAACATATTCTGATACTTAGTGCTAATTAAGTTGAACTGTTGACAACAGCTCTGAGAAGCCTTATTTCTGCAGGAGGCAGATATTTTATTTTTATATTTGTTTCCTTACTTTTATCTCAAAGGTTATCTCCTCTCCTATCTCACTACACTTTGAACTGCTAAATAATGATAAGAAAAGAACTTCGGTATCTTTTGTCCTTTTTCTAATATAGTGATGAGTATTTTAAACAGGCTTTCTCTCTCAGCCAAAATTAAACTCCTGTAACATACTGCTGCCTGTTTAATAGTCTTTTACCATTATAAGAGTTTTAATATGCTGCATGCCTAAAAAGCATCTTAAAAAAAAAATCTCCTGTTAAATCTCTATTAAACCAGAAAGATTCAGTTCCAAATTTTGTTTCTACCACACTGCTCCCTATTAAGTAAAATACTGATTTTGATGGGAAGGGTGAATGTTATTTAAGATTGTTAAATCTTTTTAAAATCTTTTAAATTGTTAAGAATTTTATTCTTAGGTTATTAAGAACTCTATGCATAAGTTTTGTCTTGTAAATTCAAAAATGTACATCATTATATTTCACAGAGAAAAAATCCATCCAAGCAAAACTGAAGGGACAGATTTACAGCAGGCCTTTACACAAAATGCATGGCTACTATGGAATAGTCAAAGATACTTCTTCTCACTGTTGTTCATAAAATCATCGTAAAAAGGATTTGTGTTGATACTATGCATTTCACTCTCCCAGAATACAACACACATACTTCACATCACCTAAGACTTTGCAGACAGACATCACCAGACATGGTTCTTCTGTGCAGTTTTGAACTGGAATCTGGTCACATCATCTTTGTAACCTTGAAGTATTCTGGCATAAAACAGCTGGACATGCTACAGCTGCCCTTTTGGTCCAGGCGGTGCTTCACAGGTTAAGAGAAACACAACAAAATCCTCTATATGAAGCAAGAACTAAAAAAAGACTACTCTAGGGAGTATGCAGTACTTTGCATACACTACATGCAACCATACAGTCTGTAAGCAATTTTTCTCAGATTCCTTACTTTGGATAGCAGTATGCCTACTCACAGATACTGCTTCTTAGCACAAGTGCCAAGCAACATGGATTTACAAAGGACAGAAGCCTTCTGAACATTGCTATGTGTCTACTCCGTGGCAATAGCCTTTTTGGTATTCAGCAACACTGCAGTGAAGTTATCTGAAGTGGTACAGATAACAAAGGCATGGCTGGGCATCTGTTCAAAACATTATGTGACTACAGTAAGAGCCGTCATGCAATCTGGACTATCATAAGGATATTAGAAAACAAACAAACAAAAAAATTCACTTGTAATTACCTTACTGTAATTAGAATAATTATCTTGCCTTGTAACTTACCTGAAGTCTGCAGTCGCTGCAAAGGATTCCAGCTCTGTAATAGAGAAGACGCAAAGAAAGCCTTCTCCACTTCGGAAGTAGTTGTCTCTAATTGCAGCATAGTCCTCCTGCCCTGCTGTGTCCAATATATCAATTTGGACTTCTTCCCCATCCAGAACCACCTTTTTCCTATAGCTGTCTGCTTTAGTAGGCTCATAATCTTCAACAAACTAGAAAAAAAAAAACTTCATGGTATAAAATCACGCCTGTACAAGGCAAACGTTTCTATTTGCATATACAGAGGAAACGAAAATCATGTATGGTTACAGTAACTAATAAGTAAACATATGTATTTAGGCTATGTGAAGTACTCAAACGATTCACAGTTAAAGCAGGCTCTCCACCAGCCCAAATAGTTTATAGGTTTTTGCTTTCTTCAGCCATTGCACAGAAATTTTAGAGGTAACCACAAAACATCAGTGCCTGTGCACTACCCAAACCTCTGCTTCTGGTCAAGCGTAACATCTGGCTGCGTTCCATTATGCTATCAGGCAGTCCTGACTTGGAATATATTTAGTATCCACTTTTAAAGAACATTGAAGCTGTAACTTCTGCCTTTTAATCAAAAAGAATTACTTTCACTGGAAAAAAGTAAGGAAACAAGAAACAGATTTCTTTCCTCTCTTCAACAGCAGCATAAAAAAACAGGAAAAAATTGGTCATCATTTCAGGCATCATACAACTCACTTAAGTGAAGAAGCTTTGAGCTATAACATCTAAATAAGTTCTAAAGGGTCTAGTGAAGAACGAAAAAAAATACTGAATAACATGACAGAACATCCAATTGCTTAGAAGTCTGAAAAATGCCGAATTATACCTCTACAAGTATTTCTAGAGGGCAAATCACTAAACTAAAAAAAAGAAACATTTTTGTTCAATTTCATCGCTGACTTTCACAATACCTCATATACATTTAGACCCTTTCAGAAATAACTGTACTAAAGAATGCTTAAATAACACTACGTAGCAGACATCTCCTGAGATAATTTCTAGTGCAGATTCTTACCTCATCATACATAAACTGTAGTGTTAAAGCAGATTTTCCCACACCACCGCTTCCCACCATGATGACTTTGTGTAAAGCCAACGAATTCTGTCCTTTAGGCTTATTTGTTGCCATCTTTGGATTGAAGAAAATTCACAGGTATGAAGTGAAAAAATCTAGAAGAAAAATATTGCTTCATTAGTTTTCTTTTCCTTCTCCCGCATGCACTGTTTGAAGTGGATTTGTTTTAAATCCCTACATACTTAAGGACTTAATTTCAGTTCTGCTATCTTCAGTGAAAGCAATCTGCTTTTTCACTGGAAGCCACTCCAGGAATTATACAGAGCTCATCTTTTTTGTAACATGAGCAAAGAAAGCCTTCAACATCTGGAAAGGGCACTAATGAGTTAACAGCATCCAAGAACAATTAAAGGAAGATTTACATTAGGTATCTAGTGTTTTCTTTTAGAGACACAGTATTTGTCAAGAATTCTTGTTAGTTTACTAAGCAAGAATTAAAAAAGGAAGCCACAGTGAGTCAACACCATACAAGAAAACATGAAATATGACAGCTGCAGGGGAAAGAACACAGACATTTGAAGGAATTTCCAGCTTAAATAGCAAGCACTGAGGCACAACAGCCTCACCAAGGATTAGCTAGCGTACTTTTTCAGAGAAAAGCAAGCAAATGTGCCACTTAAAACCTAAAAATATCCAGTTTCAGTAAGTCAATCAGGAACTGAAAGAATAATCTAGTTTACACCGAGTGGAAAGATTCAACTTGCCTTCCCAGGCTACAAATGCCATTATTCTGTATGTCTGGAATAGTTGTCTCAGTCCCACAACTGCTTGCTCAAACACACATCTCTGGACCCTACCAATACAAAAGGGCTCCATGACAGTTCAGTCACATACAATCTAATGTGCACGTGCACACGTACAAACAGCAACAATCTCATTAGCTTTTCTGTAAAGTCACATTATAGTTTTAGCAGATCTCCAACTACTATCTTCACACATTTTCGTTTCACTCCTTACCTCACCCCAAGGGTAATACAATAGTATTTGTGTTATATGAAGGCAGAATATTTTGTCTGCTTGCACAGTTCTAAGGCATGGGAAAGTCACTGCGCAGTGACAGAATGTACCCTCCTCCAGGGATTTAAGGCCAAAACAAGCTCTGATGTCCAAAGGCACAACCATGTCTACATTACAGAAGATGTAAACACAAGAGACATCTATAGGAGAAACTAAGAACCAAACATAACTTAGATTTAGTTACTTGGAAAGCTCAAGAAGAGCACATTCAGGTGGCAGCACAGCTTAGTTACACATAGAACTGCCAGATAATAACACAGTGTAGTACCACCACACCATTACCTCACCACCTTTACCCATCGTGATCATCTGACAATCTCACACTACAATTACATCCTCCTGCGTAATGAATCACGCTCGTGCGCAGCTGAAACAATCAGAATGTGAAGCATGACAATTTCCTTAAAACTTGTGTCAAAACCTCTAGTTGAGGACACGCACTAAGGCTTTGTTAGCAGTGAGGCAGTTCAGTGTAAAAGGGTGCTGAGTGAAGCTTCATTAGAGATCAAGCCAATCCTTCCTGCAATTACAAAATAAAAAAGTGTACTGGTTTAGGCTGGGATAGAGTTAATTTTCTTCAGAACAGCTCGTCTAGTGCCATGTTTTGGATTTGTGGTGAACATGGTGATGATAACGCACAGATGTTTCAGCGAGTACTGAACAGTGCTTACGGAGTGTCAAGGCCTTTGCTGGCTCTCACGCTGCCCTGCCAGCGAGTAGGCTGTGGGTGGGCAAGTAGTTGGGAAGGACACGGCTGGGACAGTTGACCAAAGGGATATCCCGTGCCATAGCTTAGCAATAAAAACTGGCAGGGAAGTTTGCCAGGGCTGGTTTTGCTCAGGGGACCAGCTGGACATTGGTCAGCTAGTGGCGAAAAATTATTTTATTTTCATCACTTGTTTTACTTGGGGTTTGTTTGGTTTTTAAACTTATAAATTGTTATTATCTCAACCCACAAGTTTTGCCACTTTTACCCTCCTAATTCTCTCCCCCATCTCACTGGCAGAAACAAAGCGAGCAAGCAGCTGTGTGCTGCTTAGCTGCCTACCAAGGTTAACCCACAACACAACCTATGTGCAAAACTCTCTGCATCACATCAGTAACAGTACACACTCCACTATCAAAGAATTCTGAAAATGCAATTGAAAATTAAGTAGCTTAAATTGTTTTCCCCAGAAGGGTTATCTAACTGAAACAAGCATGAGTATTACTCATATATTATAGACATACAGCAGAGAAATATAACTAACATTATGTTAAAGTTCTTTTAAAAAGGAAGTGGATGAGAACAACAACAAAAAAATTTTCATTTTGGCCACCACGGCTTAAAAAGAACCATTGCTTTGTTTTCACTCAAGAGGGAGCAGAAGAACGTGAAAATAGCTCCAAGCTATGTGTACATCTTCAACCTGCTACACTGCATTTTGAACTGCTTCACATTGTTTTGTCTTTGCACTTTTCTCTTAAAAAACGTACCCTGAAAGTCATGCTTGGTTTTAGTGTGTATTTCAGACAAATAATATAAAGAAGATTCCTCTGAATTCCAGTATCAACTGACAACAGCTCCGTTTGACAAGTTTACATTATGATACATACTCTCAGAAGCACAGAAACTGAAGCACTAGTATACCTACATATGGCCTATACTAACCTTACTAAGCAACAAACCAGACTATTCTTCTAGAAGCACTTCGATACTGGAACAAGTCCAC